TATGTTCAACTGGATCTTGCGGATCACCCCGGTGCTCTACACAAGTGGTTCCCAAACACCAGGCTGTGGACTGGTACAGTGCCACAGAACATTTGCTTCCACACTAAAGAAAATATTATGATTTGCCAAAAAAAGGAAAAACAGAATAATACTTAAATAACTTTATGGGCTATTTAGGCAGTTGAAATTGGTCTGTCTGAGCTGCATATTTCCTCGCCCCTCCCTGTCACTCAAACAATTGGATATACATTTTGAACTAAAGAGGTTCATTAGTACTTGATCAGCTTGTGCGGAATCAAGAATGTAGGGGATATAAAAAACCTAAGGTGTTCAAATCCCCAAGTGGCCAGTCTGCAAGAACATAATGCGAAAAATGGTTGGGGACCCCTGCCCTATACTACATTTAATTTATAGCTTCTGATATACATGGAAAATTAACAAGCAAAAAACATCCTGGGTTAACAGGTAACACCTGACGGCTGTACGACAACCACTGGAATATTACATTGTTTAGATCATCTTAATCTACACCCCTAATAACCCTGCTCATTCCAAACACTGTTTACAGTATTGACAGTAGAAGAAACTCTAAATTATATTAGTGCTCTTAACCTTCGTATCATCACAGGGCTTGACTATCATTTAGACCCATAAGCACAAATGCTTAAAGAGATCAAGCTTCAGGGTCTTCAAACCAGCATATAAATGCCATCGTCCTAATTTGTGAGATGGAAACCTGATTTATTGCACATGTTTGGCTATTCTGAAGTGCAGTTAATCAAGCAGTATTCTCTTTGCGCTGTTTATTGTTCCTTTATTGTCAATCAATGTGACAAGGAGGAGATGGTCTTTTAAAACGTGACCTCCCCCAAATATCAATTCCAATAGTTCAGTGATGAAAACTATGTGAGTGTGTGTGTGTGTGTGTGTGTGTGTGTGTGTGTGTGTGTGTGTGTGTGTGTGTGTGTGTGTGGTTGAATTAATGAATAAGGTCTCAACCACAACCTATCGTCAACCTTTCCTGCAACAGGGACACAAATCACTGACCTGTCCCTTCTGCTGTGATCTGAGTTTTTTCATCAGACGACAGACTAAAAGCTTCTATTCCCTGACAAAACTGTATTCTACATCTATGCATTATTATTTTGTGACTGTATGCGTCTGTGAATAATTGAACATTTTGAACCCATGAGTCAATATGTCTCAAATGAATCCTCGGCTCCCACATCAAAATGATTATTTCTAAACAAACCGTGTTTAATCGACTGCATGCCTCCACGGCACCCTCCATCTGGAGGATGCTGTGTGACAGCTTCTCTTAAATTACAAATATCAATCTGTCACAGTGGGAGCTCAGCTGCCAGTGGCCTCATGGGGGTCCACGTCAAAGCAACCAGCCATCAAAACAAAGCCATCAAAACGCTGCACAGCGCTTGCTGGATGCTTAGTTCTGAGACAACCACGTTCAACACCTGATCACAGCTCCACTAAAATGACCAAATAACTGAATAGCAACGGCTCGTGGTACACATACCCAGGTTGATGTTAAACATTCCAGAAAATAAAAAGGAAATCACAGCTGAGCTGAGCTGGATTCTGTGAGGAACTGAAGCCGGGCCAGTGTGTGGTCCTGGGTCAGCTCTGTGTGGCTCCACCCCTCTCTTCCTCCATGGCAAGGACCGACAGACGCTAGCACCAAGGGCTCCCAATCTGCTGTGTGATCAGTGATACTCTCCCTAAGCGTGTTCCCCCTCCTCATCACCGGCTGTCTGCCCACTGCAACACCACCACTTACACTCCATCCACCCGCTTATTGATACACTTCCCTGCAGGATCGCCTTCGTGTGCTCCTTGGGAAAGCAATGGGTCTGCGGGGTGGCCTAATTCAATCACCGTTAGGGGGAAACACACACATCATTCATCACCAGCACAGGACTAGTCCAGGAATACACTCTACCAGCTCTTCATTATTACTAGATGACCATTAACACACAAACAAATTGCCTTGATGTGGGAAATGAGCAGATTAGTGAACCTGATCGGGGTTATCATGCACTGTTATCATGTAAAGATATTTTAAAATACACTAAATACGCGCACATGATGCACATAAATAGATATTGAGCAAAGGTGATCACAGAAAAGCAATGCAGTCAATTATTAGGTGCACAGTAGACATCATGACTCCCCCTAGGGTTATTTTATTTTCTCTTGGGCTGTATATCGGTTCCCCAACTGTGTTTATAGCAGGCATGGTGTGCGCCCTGTGCATTACAGCAGGCCCAAATGGGTGTTTAACCCAGTGGAATCCAAATAGAAACTGTAGCAGAAGAAATGCTTTTAGTATGCATAATCATCAGGATTCAAATTTTGAGTCTCAGTTTTACTTTACTCTAACATTTATAAAATGCCACTGCGAGTATATAAATGGCCATTTCACTGTTCTGTGTATTACTTAAGTATATTTTAACACATGTTTTGTACATTTTACACAAAACAAGAAAAGAAAAAGTATTCTGTGATTGCATTTTCTATTTATTCCTAGCATTAAAGAATGAGAAGATATACTTTCCTTCAGACTAAAGATTGTATAAGCAGCATTGGCAGACAGAACTGACCCTCAAGTAATTCCTGTTTGTAATGTTGTTGGAGTGCTTTTCTATAGTATATATATGTCATTTGTACAAAAAAAAATTCTCACATGGCCAAGCCAAGCACCACTTCATGATGAACAGTTAATGGATTTCAGTGCCTCTCGGTACACATGATGATGCCATTTAAAGCAAACACTGCAATGCAGGGTCAACACTGAAAGAAAACACAAGGCACAGGTCATATAATATACCATGAGCAGTGAAGCAAAATTACTTGATGTGTCCATTAAAATAGGTAAGATGTCATATGTATGAAGCATAATGTCACACAGGTGGCTTGTATTCTCAAAGTCCTCTCCAAATGTAAAAACGGTTAGAGCTCATTTCAAAGACTGCTTTCTTATGAGGCACTCTAAAGCTATATGTTGTGACAAACACAGAGTGTCATACAAGCATGTGACTCGGTAGCTGCTCAAATATTTAAACATGAAATGTAACGGAAGCCAAAGACAGTTACTGCAGCCACTGAACATTTCAATTTACAAAATCAGCCCAGAGTTGAGAAAGGAGCTGTCTGCTTCAGCACCACGGACAGTTCCTGTCATCTTCTCTATGATGAGGCGCTGCTTGCAGCAACGACAGCCTGCCAGTTTTATCTGCTGCACTTTGTAACATCAGACAGAAGTGACTTTACGAATTCATTAATGCAAGGCCCTGTGCTCATAAAAATACCCCGGAAATCCAGAGTGACACACAGACATATTCTTTCATGAGTTCCTATTGTTTAACAACTTGAATTGGAGATGTGGCTCACCTCCAAGTGGCCTCTGGCATGTCGTCTCTGCCAGCACAAGTAAGATATAGGTCGCCTGACAAACTAAGAAACCCTGTCTGCGGTATATAGGGCCGGGCTTGGTGTTTTCTCAAAATGCAGTCCAGTAAGCAATCAGCGAGACAGCACTGGTTGAATTTAATTGTGTTTCAAGAACCTAAATTGTCTCTCGTGTGTGTGTATAGAGAGATAAATAGGGAGACAGAGAGGGGAGAGAGAGCCTACCTTGACACAAGCATGCGCTCACTTACAGCACATGTTCAAGATGAGCCCAACAGCCACTGACCAACAGACCACCAACAATCTCTCTTCAAAACGACTTGCAGCAGGGTCGAGCAAACATAACATAAAAAAAAATAATATTAAGTAAGGTTTACAATTCATGAGGGTTGCCACTAAGGCTCAAAATGGTCCGGCATTTCTGATTCAGGTGCACTTCCAGAAATAGGATCATCATCAATCATCGCTCAGATTCCTCTGTAATGCGTCGGTATTCGCACGGTTCCACCCAAGGGACCGCGCTGTTGTCCTCATGGGAAACTCATACACCAGGTCGAAATGGCAAGAAAACGAAGAATGTTAGAAAGCACGCCGATGAAGCATCGAGCTGTCATTCCAATACATTTAAATGAGCGTAATAATATGGATAAGTTTTGTCTGGGCAACAAAAAAAATTACAGCGTGTGCGCGAGCTTTGGCATCTCATGTAGTCTGTGTCTCGAATTTAGACTCTGCAACTACAGTGACGCACAAAGAATCATTTCAAACTCAATCACTGGGAGTGTGTGGGGGGGAGTGTGTGCGGGCACGTTAGACACACAAACACACACATACAGTGAGAGTAGAGATAGAGAGAGAGAGCAGGAAGAGTTGTTTTTTTTGGCGCAACCATTAAAAAACTTGGGTCTATTTTATTGTAAAATTGTATGCTATAGTACACACCGCAGCCTCCATATAAAGACAGGGTTGTGCATATAATAAGGCTTACTGGTGGGCTATCTTCAGGGAAAGCTGCCGCTTCGTTTACACCTTTATCTAAATCCTCTCCTTAGTGAGCTCCAGTGAGCCCGCGGGCCGGTGTGTGAGACTGCACTGCAGAGGGCTTCTCCGGCATCTCCATTATTGAGCTCATGAGCAAACACATCGTGAGCCAAATATACAAAATAGGGGCACTGAGTCCACTAAATGAGAGACTCTGAGATTTCCTCTCACATTGCGACACATGCCATTAGTTTGAATATTTATCTATTGCTTTCCTGAATGTTGTAGTCTATAATAATTTATATTCGACTTCATCTCATTGCTGCAGCCCTGGCAGGTGCTGAACTTCTCCTCCGTAAAGCGCTTGACTGGCCCAGAACCTTTTTAAAACTGACCAATATCCCATCTCCACCACCGTGTTTTTTCTGGAATAACTGCTGCAACTGTCAGGCAGATGCTCAGAGTCATAGGCGATCAATTCATTGGCGCAATAATAGAAGAACCAGTTAAATTGAGGTCTGCGAACTTTATCAAATGCTTAGAAAAGCCGTGTTAAGGTTGGTACAGGCAAGCCAAGAGGAAAATTGGCCTACCTTCAACTCGATTCCAAAATGGTACGACGCCGTTTGTCAGTCAGTGGGGAAGGCTTTGGAGATCACAACTCCAGGTCAATAGAGAAAACACGTTTCCATAAAATGGGTAGAAGCCAGTGGTAGTCTGTGTTTCGGCGAGGTCACCCATTCAGCCAGTCGTCCAGTTTAAATCCAAACAGAATAATGGAGATCTTGTCTCTGTCATTTGGGGGAGAAGTGCGCCAAGCGCTCTCCTACGCAGATGTGACTTTGCGCGCTTGAAATAAAGCGTGTGATGGGTAGAAATAAAATAAAAAACACTACTACAACCAATAAAAAAATGTATATCAAAACGATTGGGGGCGAAGCTGGTAAATGGTCTCCCCCTCCCAAAATCTAACAGCTGACTTTTACGCAAATCGTGCCCAATTACTAATCCTCTCCTGGGTTCTTCACCATCTCAGACTCACTAGTTGGTGCGATCCCCACTCAGCAGCGGCGCGGTGGAGATGGGAAAAAGAAATGTATGTATATAAATGGCCAGATCCGATGGGGGTTTCCTCCACTGCTCCGCTCTGTAGTTGCAATGCACACGACGAGGAGGATCTCTCCCCGGTCCTAGTGCACCACAGACCGTCCCTTGCTGGCTCTAAGACACGCCGCGGCTGCACCTGCACTTTGTCATTTCCATCGATAGAGCAGTAAAATGGATGAGGGGAAAAGAAATTCCAGCACACACCTATAACTCAACTCAAAGCTTCCACGCTGAAGAGAACATGATGTGCAAAAAAGGGTCCTTTGTTGGAAGAGAGAGAAGGGGATATGGGTGAGAAAGCTAGAGCAAAAAGAAAGAAAGGTTTGAAGTAAAAAAGGGAGAGAGAGCAAAAGACAGAGGACATAGACTTAAAATTGAACCCTCAATATAGGCCTAATTAGTCCCTCATACCATTGATGTCCCAGCTCATGAGAGGAGAGCTTGTAATAAAGTCTGAATTCACAATCACATTAATGTTAAATGACTGTGCAAATCAAATGATTCAGTGCAAATCCAGATGGGGTCCTATTAAATGGCATCCTCCTTTGAGATTCATGAGTTTGTCTTGTGGCATAAAGCAAAACACAGAGGCGATTGACATCAACAGCAATATGGAAATCAGGTTTGTTGAATCTTTGAATCATGCAGTTAGCAACTGATGAAAGGATCCTGGTAAAAGTGTTGTTTGTGGTGTTTATCAAAGTGCACTCAATAGACTTCCCCAGCAAAATTATAAGAACACACAGGGAAAACAGCTTATATTTGGGGCAATTTTAATGCAGTAGTGGTGGGACTGTAATTCTGCTAGAAGTCCATCACAGGACCTGAAGCAATTAAGAGAGATGGTGCTGTTTATGCAGAATGGGCTCCTAGTCATAGGACCCTATTAGATTCAGACTCAGAGTGGTATTAGTGGTACTATTATATGTATGTAAAAAACTAAAATACACTTGCAGTCAACATGGAAAGTAATCACATCCCTGGAAGATTAATACATTTATTTCTTTTTTCCTATTTGCACACTAGAGATGCTGACAAAAACCGACAAACATTTGTACAATTATTAAAAGCCTGAATTACTCTGCATCTAGACTGAGTACAGATAAGTTGAACTACAGCGGACTTCAGGAAGAGAAGAATCTTTCTAATGAATTAATCCACAGACACAACATATCAATTATTCTCAACTAGGTGAATCTGAACATTTTAACTTTAGTATTTGAGATTTATACTTGGTTCTTGGTTCTGTAATTTGTCTGTCTGCTTTGGTATAAAACTGAAATGATGATGTGATGTAGCATCAGATCAGTCCAATCACTTACAGATTTCCAATAAAGGGGTGTGTTGGAACAGTAAAATACTTCCATGAAGGTTGGGCTCCTGTAACCTTGCTCATGTCTCCTCAGAGATCCCACCTTGCTCCTGAGAGCAGAAATCAAAGCACTGGAACAGCCTTCATGATAGCGGACCGGAAACGATTAAGCGAGAAGCGACGGATGATCAAATAAGGGAATTGGCATGTACTCGGTGACAGGGGAACAGAATTCGACACAACACCTGTACCAGGGCTCAGCCTGCCAGCTGCTGCCAATCAAACACTGACACAAGCACGCCCCTCCAGTTGGCTTTGACAAAAATTTGTATTTGTGATATTTCCATTTTTCTTCCTTTTAAGAGTATAAAATCATAAACAACACATTTAAAATGTTGACACTAAAGAGATGACTTTAAAGGCCTTGCACACCCATGGTGATTTAAATATTTTGGCTGATTAGACCTCTTCTCAGAACTGTGTGGGAGCGTATGTGCTTGAATTAGTTCTTGCTATTAGTTTCGTAGCACCTGTTAGGGCTGGACCAATTACACCTTTATCTTTTTTTTTCAGTACATTGAGTCCAGTGACTTCACATAATTCTCAGCATAGCTCGGCCGCATTCAACCTGAGCAAATGTTTAATCTGGCAGATATAATAGAACACCTGTGTAGGTGTGCAGGTACAAAAAACAATAGTGAATGATTCAGTTCTTGTATTCATCCCCAGTGGTGGTTTAGTATCAGTGGTGAGATACAGCCATTGTTGGCACGTACATCCTACTAATTTATGTAATTGCTGCCTGAAAAAAATGTCTCTCTCTCACACAAACACACACACATACACGAGAAATAAATAGTGAAAACTAGAGTGATTTCATATTCACTTGAGTAATACATAAGCACTGTACTACCCTCTCTCTCTCTCTCTCTCTCTCTCTCTCTCTCTCTCTCTATTTTGTGTGTGTGTATCGTCTGTTTGAGGCTGATTTAACATGTTGTTAAGATATAAAGATATAAAAGTGCCCAACAATAATAGAAAATTTGAGGGATTGTACCAAAATCAGGACAAGACCCAACCCAGCATAAACTAAGCAAAGTATGCATTTGTACAGTGTTCATAGGGTAGTCAGTTTCAAAAATTTCCGTAATTGAAATTCACCACTCCAAATCAATTACAGTTACAAGATTCAAAGGCCATGTTACAGGAGCCAAATTTATAGACTTTTGCAATGCATTTCACACAGTAAATTATTATTATTTTTCTTGATAAACCATCTAGCATCTTTTCACTCCAGGAGGTAATTTTTCACCTCAGTGTGTAAATGAGACAGCCGTCTTCTATATGTTGAACCAAATCATTTCCCCCTCTTCTAACCTCCACTCTCTACATGACTTGATGCCACAGACTTACCTATCCATCACAGGAAATGTAAACGAATAGAAGTGTAAACAACTCTAACAAACTCTCCTTTCACGTCTGCTATTTGCTTGTCTACAGCATGTTGTGCAGATCTAGAGCAACAATGATTCTGGGAAGCAAACACCTCTTACTGTTGGATTTTTTGGGTGAAGGATTAAGCACATAATTGAATAAAAACCAACTATTGTCTCTGAAGAATTTATTAATAAAAAGAGAATGACAGAGAAGTACTACAACGTTAATCAGCTGGGCCAGAGGTTCTGTCTCCCAGGACATTCACTAATGTCTGGCCCCAACTAAAGGTATGCATAATCATTTACACAGTCTAGGTTTCTATGTTTTGGAGAACAGAGATCCTCTCCCGCCCTTGAATGCACATTTAAGCAGAAGAGAAAAACGGCATGAAAGAAAAACACCAAAACAATCTCACAGCTCTGACCTAAACCCTCGTAAATATGAACAGACTAACATAAGGAGTATAGAAGAAGAAATTGTAAGGATAAAAAACACAATACATATATATTTATAAGACATAACAAAAATAGTATATTGAATAAAAGTTTTTATTGGAAGAACAGAGCTGAAACAGCTGATCATAACTCATTCATCTAAAACAGCCACTCCAACCACATGTCCCTGTGTGGCATTTTGAGTTTGACTTTTGAGGATTTTTTTTTGCTTTCCTTGACTCTCTAATAGCATTTTGTTGTCTTACCGTGATCTGTTGTTATGCTGCAATGCAGTAAAGCTGCTGTAAAGCAGTTTTAACAGAGTCAATCCAGTAAACTAAAATAAAATGAAAACAGAAGCTGACACAGAATATCTATTTGGGATGTCAATCATTTAAGAACACATTAAGCCATAAGTAAATTACTCTCAGATAACAGCAATGGTAATGACGTTCCACAAAGACGGCTAGAAAAATAAAACAGCTCCAGGACATATAGCATGAGTGAACGCCAGACGCACCTGTGTGTTTGTGTGTCAAAATGAGGACAAAACACCTCTTTATCAAGTCCCATCAGCATCTGTGGTGTCTATAAACTAGATTGGAAAGAAGAGGGCTGTCTTGTATAACAACACTTGCCCAGAGCTCAGGAAACTCGTCACAGACGTATCTGCCTCCACAGTTTTTTCTTCAGTATGAGTAGGTACCTGACCGTTATCCGTCATGCAGAAAATATAGAGCCTGACTGATATGACATAAATCCTCCTCTTCATTCTCCTTTAAAAAAATCTCACTCACTCACTCACTCACTCACTCACCCACTCACTTGTTCACTCACTCACTCACACTCTCACTCACATATTGCTGCCTGCTGAATATTCAGTAGATAAATGGTGCGGTGCACGAGTGATGCCATAGAAACTGCTGAGAGATCACAGGACCTCATCACATCTTACTCCCACACTTCTTTTTTTCTGGTGCTGCATTGTCCAGTCTCCTTCTATTAAATGGTTCCTCTCAGCAGCTTCTTTGACAGTACACTAAAAGCTCCATAAAAAAGCTCTCAATAATTCCACAAAGTTACCAACTTTGCTTTAAAGAGCAATATCTTGCTTTAGCATCATGTCCCACTTTCCACGTTGCGCAGGCAGAAATAGACTTTGCATTAGAGTGCAATCAGATAAAGAAACAATCTATTCCTTGATCCAAATTGAAAATAAGAAAAATAATGTGAATTGTCATTGGGACACAGATGTAGCTAGATGTAGTCAAATTGATTCTAACATTAAAGCCCTCCGCCTATTCCTTGTTTTCCTGAACATTTTATAACTGGATAAAGACATTTTTCACACCACAAGTGGTACGATTCAATACATTCAAATCCACTACTGGATCCCAATGAAAAGTAGGTAAATGCATTATGTGGGTGCTCATACTAAGGCATTATAGTTTATCTATTAATAACTTAATAACCTTTTTTCAGACATTAAACATGTATTAACTGCTTTTTTGCCCACTTGAGGGCAGCGTAGCAGACTGTAAAACAATACTGACATATTATCACCTTATAAAGTTATAAAGTATAGGCTACAATGGAACTGGACATCTTGAATAGGCAAGAAGAGGTGCAAAATAATCACAACCAAAATCAGTTATGAATGACTTTTTTGCACTAATTATTTTCAAATAGGACATAGCTAACCATTTTGCATCTCAGGATAACAAAATGATTCCCTGTCCCTCATCCGTCATTTGTCTGTCTTCCCTATAATCTCTCTTACTGTGATACATGCACACACACGCATGGACAAACACACACACACAGGCACACAGACAAGCAGATGTTTCACAGAGTGTGCTGACTGATACATGCCCATTGCCTAATTG